CAAAATAATTGGAGTTTATAAAAGCATTGATAATATTAAGCGGAAAAACAGACATTAAATCACATAATTTGCTTTGTGATTTCATGTTTTTTTTTTTTCTATATTATATGGGTTTTTTTTCCAGTCTACCCTAGAGTGGGCAACTTTTTCTCTCATTGCCCACTATGGCCCCCCTCTAGATACGGGCCTGCTGTCAGTATATCACTCACCTTCAGGGGATTTGGCGGGGGATATGGTAACTTCATTAATATGTACAGGGTGTTTGGTAGGTCGATGCTTATATTTTGGGAGGTGATAGAGTAGTCATTCACCGATTTAGTCAAACTTACCTTAGTACCAAGTCCTATGGTTTTCAAAATATTGCCGATTCAATGTTTTCTTAAAAAAATCTCACAAATCCTTTGTTGAACGCTTTAATGCGATATTCAGAAATATTGTCTCAATTATTTTTGTTTTGTATCTTAACGGAATGTGTATTTCTTGTGTCAAAGGCATTAACAATAAAATAAATAAAAAATGTAACAATAACAAAACTGTTGAAACCAAATTTAAATCCTAATTAATAGATTTGTAGAGAATTTAATTGGCTTTAAGTAGAGTTTACTATATTGAAATCGCCTCAATGTCATTTTTGGCAAATTTTTAATTTTTCATAAATTCAATTAAAAAGCTTCTCAGGTGCAAAACTGTGGGAACCAAATTAAAATCTTTATTTACGACTGACATATAATGTATTATATTTATGATTTTGGCAGTATAATGCCATATATTATTCCCGCAGGGATTAATGGTCATTATTCCCGCTTCCACACGATTCACACGAATCACAAAATTTCTCAAATTAAATAATTAGTACCATGGAAACAATATACCTAAACAAACTCAAAAGTGTCAGTGTCAAACGCGTAGTGCTTGTGTATTTGTATTGAGATGGATGAACAAAGAGCGTTTTTGGAAAGAAAATTTCAAATAAATTAATTTGTCGTAAATAAAGTAGAGTATACTACTCGCAATAATGGCTATTATTCCCTCTGAATGTTACTCCCTCGCCGCTAACGCGGCTCAGTTCGTAAATATTCCTTGGGAATAATAGCTATCATTATTGACTCGTGGTATAATCTACTATTATTATTAGGTTTGTGGAGAATTCAATTGGCTTTAATTAGAGCTCAATTTCCCTGACATTGGGTAAAAATTAAAGGGCTTGTGAGGTAGAAACTGTCTCAATGTAATTTTTGGTAAATAATCAATGTTTGATAAGTTCAATTTTGAAGCTTATCAGGTGCAGAACTGTTGAAACAAATATAAAATTTTGTCTAGCTAAGTAAACACAATAACCCCCAAAAACCCGATAGAAATTTTTAAAAACCCTGGAGTTACCTCAGCAAAAATACTATGGGAGCTTCATCCTTCATAAAAAAAAAATAGACACCATGGCCAGAAATATTTGTACACAAACAAACAGGTTTCAGGATCCCCACAAAAGTTTCGTTGCATTGTTTTTAGAAAAAATAGCTGAAATGCTTCCATTGCTTCTTACAACTTTTATTAATAGTTTTTTAAATTTGATTCATATTCCTCAGCTATCACAGTTTCAATCATGAAATGACATTTTTCAACATCTCATCGAAGGAGTAAATAATTAATTTCTGCAGTGAAATAGTATATTACAATCCGAGACGGAAAATACTTCATTGCTGGTCGAGAGGTTATTATAGTTTATCGAGACGCGAAGCGTCGAGATAAACTCAACCTCGAGACAGAAATGAAGTTTTCCGTCGAGGTTTGTATACTTTTTTATTTTCAACCCTTAATTTTCTGATGCAAAAACTAAAGATTCTGTTATACGAAATTTTCATATAGTGTAAAACTGGCCTTAGAAAAAAATATTTCACTTTTTTTGTCAATGTCATCAATTTTGACGATCTCAAAGGCCCTGTAAAGGCCAAAACAAAAGACGAAACCACAGGAAACCGCAAAATCAACAACCATAGATAAGATCAACAACGCCTTAACGACGGTAGTTTTCGCTCAGTATTTTTGCGGAAATAATAGATTTTCACTAGATTTCTCCCCGTTCTCCCCAAAGAAATGATTTCGGAAAGTGAAGATGAAGCGATGGATTGTACCCCACCTGAATTAAAAGAAGCAGCAGACAGGATTGGAGAGAGTTTGCTTCCAGCAAAAAGCAAATTTCGGTACGAAAAGGCTTTTCAAATATTCGAAGCATGGTGTAGCCAGAAAGGAACGAGAAATACTGCCTCGGAGACCGTTTTGTTGGCGTATTTTGGCGAATTATCTAAGGAAAAGAAGCCTTCGACTTTATGGTCGACTTACAGTATGTTGAAAACCATGATTAAATTGAAAGAGAAAGTTGATATCTCCAATTACGCAAAACTTATAGCTTTTTTGAAGCGGCAAAATCTGGGCTTTCAGCCGAAAAAGTCGAGCGTTTTTTCCAGAGAAAACATTAACGAGTTCCTCACGAAGGCAGCTGAAGAATTCATTAGCATCAAGGTAGGTTTTCAAAAAATATACAAAGAAGATAAAAATGCGAAAATCAAAATGATTTTCTGTATGCTATAGCTAGGTTACCCATTTTATTTTTATCTGGTTTCAGGTAGCGCTAATTGTTGGTGTGTCGGGTGCATGTAGGAGCGATGAACTAGTCAAGATGAAAATGGAGCACGTCAACGTTTTGGAAGGAAAGATCGCTATAGAAATTCCACACACAAAAACTTACACAAGTCGATCGTTTATCATAAGCGATCCAGATTGGGTTGCTATTTTCCACAAATACCTCACTTTGCGGAAAAATTTGAAAAATGACAGGTTATTTGTTCAATGGCGAAATGGGAAATTACATAACCAAGCAATTGGCTATCATTCAATCTCAAAATTTCCACATAAAATAGCTGCTTTTTTGAAGCTTCCAAAAATTGAAACTTTTACAGGGCATGCTTTTCGTCGTACTTCCGCAACCTTATTGGTTGACAACGGGGCCGATCTATTGCAACTCAAAAGACTGGGAGGGTGGAAATCGAGCACGGTTGCTGAAGGCTACATAGAGGCATCTTTGGAGAACAAAAGTAAGACTGCTCTGATGCTATCCTCTACTTCCAAAGGTATTCAGTTGTCCAGTGCATCCACAAGTACATCACATGCGGAAACTCATCCGCAAGCGCAAGAGATAATAGTTCCAAACGAAACACAATTCCAACAGGATGGTCTCAAGATTTCCATTATAAACAACAATGCTAATTTAACAATTAATGTAAATAAGTGAATAGATTTAATTAGTTCCATGTAATACATGTGGTTTTATTATTATATGTGAGAGCTGTATGAAAATTATCAATTTGGAACGAGCAGGGAAATGGGGACGGAAAAGCATTTGCCGTCCCGGACGGAAAATGCTTTTCCGTCCTAGGCAGGCATATGCATTACCGTCCCGATAAATGTCAAAGTCCAGAAATGTGACACTTTCAAGATTTTGAAAAACCTGCAATGTCAACATTACATATGTGGTTGAAAATAAAACTATTTATTGACCTCGTTTCAACTCGGAAAAATAGGTGATGCAACTATTTCCTTGCATAAATACTAACGCACTTATTTATTAGTCATAATAACACGTTATCAATAGGGAATTCCATCAATATCAATTTAGAATAACATTTTATTTACCGACTTTCCATTTTACAGTACAATAATAGGTACTAAATTGTAACAATCTTATATTTAGGTATATCCTATTCACAATCCAATGTCCACAGGTGCAGGTAAATTTATCACCTTTCCCTATCAAATAGCATTGAAAGGTGATACATTTTACCTGTACCTGTGGACATCGGATTGTGAACGGATAATACATACAAAATCAATCAGTCATCGAGTCAATCATATTGTAATAAATTATTATCTAAATGACATCAAATAAAACCGAGAAAAAAATAAAACGTTAAGTATTAAAACAAACACAACACATTCAAATCTGTAGAGTAGGTAATTTAGTTATTTTGAAAAAAATAATAAGTCAAAAATAAGCACAACAATAGACATTACCGGTGGTGATTTAGACATCCTCTACAAACCTGCAATTTGAAGTTTTCAACATTTGGCTTTTTCCATTCCATCCTTCTTGCAATAAGTCGAGACCATTGTGGGGTCCTATTTATGTCTACTAAATTAACACCCAAAGACCCGAGCCAACATCTTTTTAAGTGGCTAACCTTTTCGCCTTTTAGAAAATGGCTAGGTAGGTATAAAGGAAAATATGTAAACAAGTGGAACCAAACCCTATTAGGGCTGAGAATAGAGGTTCCCTTTGTGCTTTCGGTTTACATTATATTTTCATACATTTGTGTTGGCAGAACTCGTAATATTTCGATGAACCAAAATGTAATATGATATGCTTAATTGATTTTTTTAAATTTGTAAAAATAAACAACCCAAAATGAGTTTCTAGTCGTTTAAAGTGTTTGTTCGACATGACCTTGTATCAATAATTATTCGAAATCCTATTAAAAACATTTTTTAATTATAACAAGGCAAAATATTCTAAAATGAAATGCCTATTACTATTGAGAGTCGTTTTTTGGTTTTCATGAGCTTCTTATTTAATGTTAAATTATTTCAAAACATCAATTAAAGTAGGTATTTGATGCTCATCGAGTAAATATTAATGAAAACATCAACATCATAGTATGAAACTATAATGTGTATTACTTTACCCAATGTTGCACAATAATAGTTACCTATTGTAATAAGTTTTATCTTGGCAAAGTTGTCCAAAAAGGTTCTTGATCTTAGACTTTTTAATTTTAAATAACAAACTTTGCAATAAGTATTTTATAAATAGATAAATACGATTACAATTAACAGTTTAACATGGATATATCTCAAAAAAATTTATATCCAATATTTATTTCCGTGTTTATATTAGTGGCGTTAATTTCTGTTTCAATTGAATTTAAATCAAATTGCTTTCTAATTTGCAGACAAAAAAGGGCACTTTGGAAGTATTCGAAGAAAAGAGCAGCTCTAGCGTCTCGATGGACATGGCTCCAGTCTCAAATCACAGATCTCGATCACAGAATCAAGCAGCACACCGAATTGTTTAAAAAAACTCGGTTGACCAAGGGCAAAGTGCAGTTAGGGGATTACGTTATACGTCAGCAACACGTACTTTCCGAATCTGAAATTGCAGGACATCATGGTAAGGATTCAGTTGATTTTGTGTTGAAACCATTATTGCTATTTTTTTTTTTCAAGATTATGGATCAGCCATTTTAGAGAGTACAAGTTTACCAGTGAACGGATATTTAGGGCAATTACCAGGAGCGACTGGTAAAGCAGCTGAAGATAAATGCGGGTGTTGTGCTAGAACAAGACCACTGATCAACTTTAAAAAGAGACGTGCTTTTCAGGTAATTTTGGTTTTTAACATTGCAAATTAATTCAAACTCAAATATGTTTATTTATACTTAAAGAATACAAATTCGTTTTTACTCTATACAGTAACAGTTGATTAGTCTAGGCATCTATAATTTATTTTAATAATTAATTAAGGAAGGCTTAAGTGACAAAGAACCCTGACTGCACCTTTTTCAATTGTAATTCAGAAAAGTAACAATACAGTAGAAATTAAGACCCAAAGACCCTGATGATCTGAGATACAAGTTTTTTGCAAATCAAAATTAGACCACAAAGTAGAAAATTGTAACAACAAAATAGATATTTATTAATTTATTTAATAAAATGAAAATTGATGGGGGCAACATTGAAAAAGGGAATAAAAATAAGATTCTTGATTTTAAGCCAATTCAGAAAAACTTTGCTCACTGTAAGCTGGATGAGTTTTCATGCTTCTAAAAAACCTAATTTAAGTACTAAACTCTGTCCAACGAACCTAAGGCATATGACAGAGTCAAAATGGCGTCCAGGTTTACACTGAACACTGATTTATGCCATTAATTTATTTGAAAATCTTACAAAACATCACTCTACAGTGTAAAGCGGGTTGATAAATGGCCAATAGTAACGAACCTTTTTTGACGGGTTTGTTGTTTTTCACTCCGTAGGTTGGTTGGACATGGTAGTTGAAATTCCACCATTATTAAGTAATGTTGATTTTGAATTTAAGGAAATGTTTCTAGTTGTCAATTATTCCTTGAAATATTTTTTTTTCTCAAGCTTTCTGGTCTTCATGCGATATCCAAAAAAGCAGCACGTCCTAGTACGGTTCGATGTAGTTGTGTGGAATCTCAAACCCCGTGCGCCCTTTGTACAGGTCGAGTGGATCCCACACATCCGCGAGATATTCCCGACATTTTGGATAAAGCGGAAAAGGTGGCTTTATTGGATCCCTGTTTTCATCCTGTTTTATCTTTGCCTGAAGGTAAATATTATCTAGAATGTAATAATTTTGCTTATTAATGTTTATTCGATTTAGATACTTCTCATGCATTACACCTTGAAGCGATCATGAAAATGCCCGAATGGCAATTTAAAAGTTTAAAAATGAAGACTACAAAAGTGTTGCAAAAACCTGAAAGGCTCCAGCCTAGGGCTTATGAGCATAGAACGGAAAAGCTGGAGCATCGAAAAAAGTATCAGCGGTTGGATTCGAGTAATAACTCTGCTTCAGGTCTATCTGAAAGTATGTGATTTTGTCTTTAGTATAATATACAATTTTAACAAACAAATGACTTTTTAGAGGTAAAAAAGAAGCGAAAAGTGGGTCGACCGGCGAAATACAAGAAAGTCATAAATCCATTTCACAAAAGTGAGGCTGCTCGCGAAGACGCAGAAGTAGAACCTGCAATTGCTGGCGGAAGCAGAGAGTTGAGAAGTAGGAGGCCATCTGTGACGCTTGATTCGCGGAGTGGATCTCCTTTGCTTCAAATGCAGTCAATATCTGGATTCAAACAGAATCATCGCTTAAGCCGAGTGGATTCTTACGATATTGACAATATTGTGATACCCTATAGTGTAGCAGCTTCAACACGTGTCGAAAAACTACAGTATAAAGAAATATTAACACCAAAGTGAGTAAATAATAATAATTTTTGTGTAGTAGTGTGGATAGTGTGACACCTCTCCTATTTTTAAATTAAAAAAAAGAAAATTTTGTATACAGTTGTGAAATCCATAGATATTATAATTTGTATGACAATAATTAAATGGAACTAGGGTGGATCCTTATCATATTTTAAAAATGTATTGTATTACATGTACTCAATTTGATACTTCACAATCCATATTTGAATTGATATTAAGAATAATGTACCTACATATATTGTGGTAAATTACAACTCACAATAGTAAAACAGTACAAAAAAACCTGTGTGCAGCTTTCTATTTCAAAATCAATTCATACTTAAGCTTCAAACATAAATTGAATTAAAAAATACTAATGAACTTTTGCTGAACCTGTTATAATTTGCATAATGTTTTTTATAGATGGAGGATACTTGAAGACGACTTGTACATAAAAAGCGAAGTAAAAAACAATGGAAGTGTCGGCATTAGTGATTATATGGAGGATAGTGATGTAAGTAAAATTATCACAAATTTCAGTCTTGTGATAATAATGCTTATTTGTTATTTCCAGAAGGAAGATCTAGCGGACGAAGCTGTGATAGCGCGCCACGATCGTAGCGAGCAGGAAGAAAAAAAACGTTTCCTCAGCTACATGAAGTTCCCCCTGGGCAGCAGACAAAGGTCCCATAAACGTCAAGACAGTATGGCGGAGTCTTCTGGAGCCAACACTCCTGATCGAGCCAGCCCTCGTCCCGAGAGTGGGAAGAGTGGTCTCTCTATGGCTGATGGTGGCGTAGGTTCGTCACTTTTCATGGCTTCCCCGCCCCCCACGCCTGGATTTTCGTCTGAGGAGCCTTTACCCTCCATTGCAATGATGCGCAGACGAACGGTGTCTCAGTCGCGTCTCAGGGAGGTGGTGAGAGAGGATGAACCTATAATGGATTATGTTGAGGTATGTTAGTTGTATCTATACCAAGAGAAAAATTTCTAGAAATTTTTTTGCTTTTCATGGGATCCATGCTAACAGTCCGTTGAATGTAAATTTCACATTTCTAATGTAGCAACAAGCGCATGAATATCGGCTTTAGCCACTGAGAGGGCGTTTTCAGTCCGGGGTTGCTGTTTTTATTATTAATTTATGTAATAATCTGACCAAAATATTGTTCATTCTCGGTTGCATTCCTATATCACAATTTGCCATATTATTGGCACGTGAAAGTTTCAAAGTTATCTCAATATATCTTATAACAGAGACAGTACAGACCTCTGTTACTTAGCCAAAAATGCATTTATTCCATATTTGGATTTAAATTTCTGGATCATCTGGCAAATTTTTTGAAATCTCTAAACTTCCATACATTAAAGATTTTTTGGTAACACTGCTCCTTGGTATAGGTAATGGTAAATCATGTCTGTTACATTTGTTGTAGTTGGATGTTGGAATTATTATTATTATTATGGTACAATAGCAAACAGTTTACACTGATGAAACTATTGGATTACTTGTAAGTTTATCATCGTGTTTTTGAATTGCTAAGAAGTTCCTTTTTGGAAGCTTCGCGGTTTTTTACTTCCACAACTTTAAAGTATGACCTCATAGAGTACGTTTATCTCGTAAAATCCGGATCCGATCGACTTGATCCCATCCAGTGAATCTCCGTTTCTCTCATAAAATGAATTATTCGATCGATAAATCCTTTTTTGCTTAACGGATTCAAATAGAAAGAGACCGGCCGAATTAAACAAAGCAAAAAAATGTTATTTTTTAATAAATTTGCGGCAAACTCCCATGAGAGGGAAAAGGGGAAAGCAGTTTCTCATTTTTACAAGGAAAGAAGATCCATTTAAAGGAAAAAAACTTATATTTTCAAAACTTTACTTCATAACAAAACAAGTTAATAACACTAAAAAAGTGAGGTTAGACAAGCTTGCCAAGTTTCATTTGAATCGCGTTGCTGTCGTAAAAGGAAAAATTTCGATCCGGATTAGAAAGTCCGATCCGATTGAAAAACAGGATTGATTTAAAGACTTCCATCCGATACAAAATCAGGCGTCATCGTTTATCTCGCTGTTTTCAAGCGGATGGAGTTTCTATCGGATGCATTAGATCCGATCGAACGGCCCGAGATAAACGTGGTCATAGATGGGGGTTGTCAATGAAGGTAGAGATGTCAAGGTTACAGGAGTATGTGCATATTAAGCCAAGTCTCTGTTACTAAGATGCACGCAGGATTATTTTTTTGTATTGATATTGACCATTCATTTTGTTGGTAATAGATTGCAAGTTACTGTACCAAAAGGTGATTTCAATCTCCGAACTGCTACCTTGATTGTTACTTATTAGTTTTGTAGAATATTTATATTGTACCAAGGTGTCTCCATAATAAAAAAAATATTCATTGTTTCTAGCAACCTCCATATGAATCACGAGCGTTTCCACTTCCTGACAAGGAATACGATCTATTAATCAAAGATATGCCAGAATCCAATCGTGAACTCAAGACAAATTATAGAGCACAAGATATTGGCGATGATACTCTCAATAAAACTGATGATGATCCTGCCTGCGAAGAAGACGTAAAGCCAGATTTCCCGGATTCAGCGGATAGCGAGTCCACCGAGTCTGCTATAGGTAGGTACTAGCCTGCAAGACTAGTAGTTTCTAGAAACTAATAAGTGAAATTTAATTTTTAGGCGAAGATGCTATGATGGATTTGGACTATGAAGAGGAAGAAAATATAATGGAGGACGAAGAGGAGGATGAGGAGGATCCAAACGATCCGGAATGGACTGACGTTGAAAAAACGCCCCAAAGAGATAGACACTACAGACACAGACACCACCGAAGGTAGATTCTATGAAATAGGTAAGAATTCACAAGGTTGTATTTTTTTTGAGTCAAACACTAACTGTTGCTACTGGGATTAGACATTACTAAGCATCTCCAAGATTCAAGTTATATTGTTATTATTTTTAAAATGATGAGCTTATCTTAATCATGTAATTTGTTCAATGGTAGGCGGTAAAACCGATGAAGCTATTGCTGTGTTTAAAAATCTGTTTTTCTTGTATGTTTATTGTTTTATTGTTCCAATAGTAGGCGGATAAACCGATGTAACTATTGATTAGTTTTAGACTAACTTTTAAACTTATTTGTTTTGCAGTTTCTATCACAGTTCAATTCTATCAATTTACATGTTTATCACAGGCAACAATGTGACAAATTTAGGGGTTGTCACAGATTTCAGATTTCAGATAGGCCTTTTTTACTCATTAAAGTGCACAAGTGCACCAATTGATCTGCTAGGTTTCTATTTTCATCATCCTGTGACACTTTGAACAAGTTTATATTTTTATTGAATCGGCTGTTACAAGTTTATATTTGGTTTACTAACAGTTGTCTCACTCAGAGCGTTCCATGTGTACACTACTCTGTTTGAAATAAAGTTTTTTCTTGGCAGCCTGTTGTTTTTTTCTTTATACAATTTTTTGGTGTGGCCTCGGAGTTGGTTAGATTGGCTTCTCCGAAACAGATCCATTTCGCAGGTGTAGCTATTGTTTAGAATTTTGTAGATTACAATTATATCTCCTCTGGATCGTCTTTCTCTTAGTGTTGGTAGACCAAATATTTCTAACCTTTCAGGATGGGGCAGATCTAATTCCGGTGGTATTTGGGTTACTCTACGCTGCACCCCTTTCAGCAATTCTATGTCACCAACAAAGTAGGAATTCCATACCGAGTGTGCAAATTCAAGTTTAGGCCTTATGTAGGTTATGTATAATTTTTTAATAATTTTAACAGAAAGGTTTTTCCATGGAGAAATATAATAAACCAAGAGAGTTACCGATTCTGTGGTGCGACACTGGCATCGCGATGACGTCATATCGATACTAGCGCCACTATCCACTACAAGACCAACTTAAATAATATTTGGCGGGCTTTTCGAACTTTTAGAATAGTCTTGTTATTTTTGAAGATAGAAATCTAGCCCAGCGTTTTTCCGCAGTCGACAGAGAAAAAAATGCGGGAAAACGCTGGCCTAGAAACAAAAATAAATAATCAAAAAATTTCCGTGAAGTAAATCTATACAGTGAGCACGTAAAGGTTGGAATAAAATCTATAAAATATACAGGGTGTATATTTTTCAAAAAACCTTGGACACGTCAATTTTTGATTTTATTGGCCATTTTTTTGATGATAATGACTCAAAAACAAGTTATGACAGCTAACCGAGCAGCTAACTTCATTTTTTTAAATGAAAACACCAATTTTTTATTTCATTTTTAAATTCTACGTTAAATTCTGAACATATTTCATGTATCATGTCCTATACCTATCTTCAACTGTTTCGAAAATATTGACAGTTGAAAATTGACTTTTTTGCAACTTTGACAGGCTCTAGAACCTAAACGGTTAATTTTAGAGCAAAACCGATTATACTTTTTTTGTCTTAGTTTTTCATAAACTATCATTTGAAACCAACTTTGAATTTAACCGGAGATTGAATTTAGCAGGAATTTTAAACCATGGATTAAATTCAAAGTTGGTATCAAATGATAGTTTATGAAAAACTGAGAATGTATTATCGGTTTTGCTCTAAAATTAACCGTTTAGGTTCTACAGCCTGTCAAAGTTGCAAAAAAGTCAATTTTCAACTGTCAATATTTCCGAAACAGTTGAAGATAGGTATAAGACATGATCCATGAAATAGGTTCAGAATTTAATGTAGAATTTGAAAATGGAATAAAAAATTGGTGTTTTCATTTAAAAAAATGAAGTTAGCTGTCATAACTTGTTTTTGAGTCAACCTGTATTCATGGTATTATCATCAAAAAAACGGCCACTAAAATCAAAAATTAATGTGTCCGAGGTTTTTTGAAAAATATCTACCCTGTATATTTTATAGATTTTATTCAAACCTTTACGTGCTCACTGTATATTTTGATCATTGGCAAACAGCCAAAACATCTCACTTTTCACTAATAATAGGTTAGTATTTGATAATTATTATTTATGCATGAACTTAATGATTTTCACATTGTAAATCTTACCAGAATCATGTATTTTTATTAAACTAATTAATTTTAGGTTCACTCATTTGTGCATAGCATTTGTATCATGAATCAGTAACTCTTACCTTGGTTTATTATATTTCTCTATGGGTTTTTTAATGCTTTTCTACACATATACAGGGTGATTTAAGTAGCCCGTGCATTAGCTTGGTTAGCCCTGGTATCTGTCCAGTTTTCAATCTCCTCAAGGTCTTTCTTTTGGTTGTTAGCGTTTGTCAATGGGTTTGTGTACCTCTTTGTATCATCAGCAAAAAATGCTATTGAGGCAGTTATTTTATTTTGGAGTTCACTAAATACACCAGAAATAAGAGTGGCCACAATACCGATCCCTGGGGTACTCCGCTCACTACCCTGTGTTCCTGGGACAGGATTCCACTTGCTCTGACCCAGTAGCCTTTGTTGGTTAGAAAACACCTAATGAGCCTCAGTAAACTGCATCCAACACCATAGTGCTCCAGTTTAGCCAAAAGTATTCTGTGGGGAACCTTGTCGAATGCTTTTTCTTAGTCCAGATATACAGTGTGTCCACTTAAGTTCGCAGCATATGGGAAACTTTTTTATTATTAATTTTACGTAAAAAAGTTATTCTTTATAAAAGTTTCCGCTTCTCGAAAAAATAATATAAAACTACTAAAACTTGGAATAGCATGTACAGGGTGGTCAAAAACAGAATTTTTTGATAAAAAACTGTAAAAGTCGACAAAAAATGGCATGTCACTATTTTTTGAAACCTTCAAAAAAGACCAGAAGTGTCTTTTTTGAATTTTTTTGGTTGGTCTGATTGAGCAGTCTAATGGCGTTTCCGATTGGTAGATTTAGTGCGGAACTAGTGCAATTTTTTCTATTGCTCTCTTTTTCTTCAACAGGTCGATTAAAAGGATGCAAATACACTCAGTGCGCACTGAATCTACCAATCGGAAACGCCATAATTGAGTTCTTACGCATATCACTAAATGGTCGCTTAGACCAAGAGGTGGATCACATTTTAGATCATAAATTGTTTTCTTGTTAGTAACAAGGAAAAGATCCAATAGTGATTCCACTTGATTCCGTAACTCTTGTGTTGAAGTTTGCTATCTGATCTGCATTTGTCTCTCTGTAGTTTACCAAGAATTCCTGTGCACATATTTTATATCGATTTAACTGTAGGCTATTCGAGTCTATCTGAGGGTAATTGAAGTCACCTAACACTTATGCATAGGGGTTTTTGCTAAAGACCCTTTTTATTCCGTTTATCATTGCATTGTTTTTTTTCGACGGTTGTGTAGTTTGGCCTATATACAGGGTGTCCCAGATAAGGATGCACTCTACAGGGATCTCCGTAACCATAAGAGATACAGGGTTGGTTAAATATGGAAAAAGTTGCGCATTACTGGGCTCAGTGGCGTCATGTTTTGATATTTCGGAAGTTCCAAATGATTCCGAAGATATCTATAAAAAACCGAATTTTGAGGAAATCCTTTTTATTTTTTTCTGACTCTATTGATGAGTTGATGATGGTGGCCCAAGGACGAAACGTCAGATTTTGAATTTGATGGTATCATCTTGTAGACAAGAAAAAATTGCAATGATGAAGTGACATTTTCTTTGTGATTTCATTTCAAATAGAGTCAGAAAAAAATAAAAACGATTTAGACAAAATTAGGTTTTTTATAGATGTTTTCAGAATCATTCGGAATTTCCGAAATATTAAAACACCACGTCACTGAGCTCAGTAATGGCAACTTTTTCCAAATTCAACCAACCCTGTATCTCTAATGGTTACGGAGATTCCTGTAGAGTTCATTCTTATCCGCACCTTGAATACAACTTAAGAGTAGGGTTATGTTGTTGATCTGTACGTCCACCCAAATTGATTTGACATTGCCTTCAGTAGTATATTTTTCTGTTGTTGTTGAATGGATGGACTGATCGTCGATTTTTTCCCAGACCATCATACAGACACCTCCACCCTTGCATTCTTTTCTGTCGTTGTGAAAAAGGGTATACCCTTTGATGTTTATGATACTGCTATCAATGGCATGCTTGAGCCAGGTCTCAGTTATGAAAACAAAGGTTGTTTTTTGTTTTGCAATGCTTAACTTTAGTTCATCTAGCTTGTTCACCACTGGAAGCCTATTCTGTAAAGAACGAACCGTTCGATTCGGTAGAATTTCTTCGATTGTGACGTCATTTTCGGTTTGGTAGCGTGGAAGCTATTCCGTAGCATCAAACCGATCGGTAACTCAATCGAAGCCTCGATTCGCTGACCGATAGCACTGTGGGTTTCGATTTGAATTTCGGTAAAGGTTTTTGACGTTATGATGACGCGTGTTAATGTTTAATCAGTTTTTTTCAATATACATTTTATATTTATAGGTACAGAAGGAAACAGATAAGACTAGTAATAACAGGATTAACATGAGGCTCCTCAGGGATTCCTCTTCCAGTGAAAATCCTCGAGTAGAAGTGGGACTGTTTTCAGTGTTTTCATCCAGGAATTTTGTTACCATCGTCGCAGAAATGTCAATATTTACGATTTAGTTTTTTGGCTAATTGTGGCCGTTCTTCTCTCTGCATGTTTTGTAGTGTCGTATTTTGCACAGTCGGAGTACGAATGTTCCATGCTGCAAAGTTTAACGATTTTTTTTTTGAGCCGATGGGCAGAAACCCTCGGAGATCCGACTGGGGGAGTATTGTACCGTACCTCCAAACGTTTTTGATCTACTAAAACAATCCATCATGTGTAGCAGCAGATGCGTGTGTATATAGCCAAGAGTAGCAAGCTCTTCTCTCCAGCTTTGGCTATAGCCGTGACGCTTGGTGTATTCGCATTACTGGCGGAACCGGCAAAAAGCAGAATAAAATTGAAAACTAAATGTAAACAACACAAACTTTCATTTAACTGTCAACCAAAATCAAAAAATAGCCTGACAACTATCATTTTGTCAACTGTCAAGCACGAATACATGCACTCTGATTGGTTGGGATCATAGCAATCCGACAACATTGCATGGCGTTCGGACATTTTTCCGGTTGCCCTTCGATTCCTATCAAACCGAACGAAATGGTTACCGAATAGCCATATTGAATTGCAAAGTACGCTATTGAACCGAATGTTCGATAACTGTGCCCTTCGATAGTGTACCGAACCGAGAGATTCGGTCTACAAAAAATAAATACAGAATAAGGCCCCTGGAGTGCGTTTAGAAATGGAGTGTGAAGGTAGAGTAGTTGTTTGTCAGAGTGTTCTGACGTCATCACTTGGAGTGCATTCTGGGTGCGCCTTTTCTGAACGTAATTGGGGTGTTGCGCTAAATGTCAACGTCAATCCCAGTAAAAACCGCGGGGCGTTTTTCAACCCAGTCCCTGAGTGGGGTAATTTGGGCGCACTCTGGGCACGTCAACTCTCGATTTCTGAACGATTCCAGCGTAACGCTCCGAGTAAGCACTTGTTAATTTATGAACGGTTTAGAGTTACTCTAGGTTCACTCTCACACCCAGAGTGCTATTTCTAAACGCAACCCAGAGGTTGCATTTGTGTACCAGAAGGCGACCTCAATGTCCTCACTGTGTTCTAGTTTTTTTTTTGGTTACCTTGGAGGGTGTTGTTACTATTGGAAGAGTTTTAAAAAAATTTCCGTCTTGCTTGGGTGACTCTTGGGGCTCCTTTTATGTATTCAATTTTTAGGTTGTTTTCCCCTTTGCTCTCTCTGCTTTTCAGTTCTGCAATTAGTTGTTTAAGGAATAACCTTTGGGTGGGTGTCTAGTCTGTTTTCCTGTATACGCCCTTGTTGAGTTGATCAAGGTCACTCTTCTTTTTTAGGATTTGAATAGCTTCCTGTTTAGTGGATAGTATTACGTTTAAAGGCCGTTTTTTTGTGGTTTTGTATTTTCCTACCCGATATTTTTTTACATCGATGGGGAGTTCTTCGCCAATTTTAGTAAGTATTTGTGTTGTTACCTGCCTGTCAAGTGGTTCTTGTTTTTTGGATTCAGCAATACCAAATAGGAGAACATTGACAGCTCTCCGCTCTCTATCCTCTATTTCGCTGATAGCTGGTTCAACATTGCCTATGTGAGTGACCTGGTTTGGGTTTGCTTCCAGGCCACTTATACCTTGCTGTAACTTTGTGACAGTGTCTTTTAGATCCTTGTGGTTGGTAGTATTTGTTTTCAGAGCTTCTATATATTTTTTATTTTTGTGCATCCTTTTTGGTATTTTTTTAAGTTCTTCTACTTTTTGCTCGACTTTTTGCATTTGCTCTGGAATCAAGTTTAGCTTGCTGATACTTTTTTGGTTGCCCTACTTGTTTTTTTTTTTATGTCTGGTATTTCTTTTGCAAGTTGTTTGCATTGTGCCTTACAAACGTTGCATAGGAACGGCAACACTCTCGAGATGAGCACTATTGCTCTTAATTCGGTCGTCGATATCTGCATACAGAAATCGCATGGAAAACCAAAGAGTTCCGACTTAATTTCCTTAAAAATACAAGGTTCGTTGCATTTGAAACACTTTCCCGACACTTTTAGGTTACTGTACAGGGTGGCCTAAATTCGAGCCTCATCATTGGAATCTCGGAAACCATAAGAGATACCAGGTCGGTTAAATTATGGCAAAGTTGCGCAATTTTATGACCAATAGAATGCCGTTTTGACATTAGAAAGATAGTTATGCTCATTTAACTAGATTCCGAATACTTCCGGAGATATTCGGAAAAAACCGAAATTTTGTCAAATCGTTATTTTTTGCCGAGCTTATTTGAAGAGCAACTTCAAAATAAAGGTCACTTCATCATTGTCACTTTATTCCCTTTAGACGATGGTCAGGCGGCCATCTTCAACTCCCCTTTTTTAAATACGGCTTGTATTTTTTATTTGCGATTTTGTCATCTTTGGGCATCCTAAAACCGATACTGTTTAAAATTTTTCAATAACACAGTAAAAAAAGCAGGATCGTATTCAAAAAAAAATAAATTGATGATGATTCCAGAAGAACGAAACGTTCGATTTCAAATTTAATACGGCCATTTTGTAGAGAAGAAAAAGTGACAATGAGAATGTGAAATTAATTTTTCATAATTTTTTAAAATGAAATCAGGAAAAAATTAGAAAAATACGAGAAATTCATGCTTTTTTCGTATAGTTTTGATTTTTTCCTGTTTTTTTAAAAAATATTTTGAGAAACTAATTTCACATTCTCATTGTCACTTTTTCTTCTCTACAAGATGGCGGTATTAAATTTGAAATCCAACGTTTCGTTTCTCTGGAATCATCATCAATTTATTTTTTTTAAATACGGACCTGGTTTTTTTACTGTGTTAGTTATTGAAAAGTTATAAACATTATCGGTTTTAGGATGCCCAAAAATGACAAAATCGCAAATAAAAAATCCAGGTCCAGACTTAAAAAAAGTAAGTTGAAGATGGCCGCCTGAAGACGAAACGTCGGATTTTGAATTTAGTAGCACCATCTTCTAAAGGGGAAAAAGTGACAATGATAAAGTGACCTTTATTTTAAAATTGCCCTTTAAATAAGCCCGGGAAAAAATAACGATTTTACAAAATTTCGGTTTTTTTCGAATATCTTCGGAATCTTTCTAATTTCAAAACAGCATTCTATTGGTCATGAAATTGCGCAACTTTGCCATACTTTACCCAACCCTGTATCTCTTATGGTTTCCGAGATCCCAATGATGAGGCTCAAATTTGGGCCACCGTGTACTTGAAACCCTTTTTCTGAACGATAAAAACCATTTTTTTCCAAAAATAATTATCTTATGATGTAGCTTGAGGTTTGTTACACTGTTCACACTAAGAAAATTTTTAAAAACTGCGATAGTTTTTCCCATGATTTAGTAATTTCCACGAACGATTTCATAGCGCGTTGTTCCGGCGCACTCGCAAATCTGTGTATTCAAGTTTCTTGGAGTGCCAACGAAGATAGTTTTGGCTTTGTACAAAGATTTCTTTGATATTGCATTAATAGTATTTACTGGTTATTTTGTATGTTTCGATTAAATCTCCTCTATGTTCTTCTCTCCTTTAAAGCTGTTAGTTTTAGTCTTGTCAATCTGTCTGTGTATGGGAGTTCTCATAGTTCTGGTGGTATTTTTGTAACTCCTTATTGTATCTCCTCTAGAACTATATCTTTGACATAGTAGGGATTCCACACTGAGAAAGTGTATTCAAGTTTTGGTCGTATGGCTCTTTTATACAATTTGCCTATCATTTCTATTGAGTGATCTTTTTTATTGAGGCATACAAAAAAATTGGCTTTTTTGGAAATATTTAAAATGTGCTTCTCCCATTTCTGGACTGAAGTTTTTATTACTCCTAGGTTATTTTGATTTGTCACAGATTGTAATGTCACATTGTTTAGTTCGTATTCTTCATTTGGATTGTTTGGACCGATACATTTGGACTCATTAAACTTCATTTCACAGTCTGAGGATCATTCTTCAACATGCATTTGGTATAACGCAAAACTGCAGCATATATCGTGAAATCATGTTGATTTTCGTATAGCAGGCAGTTGGTTTTACTGCCTGCGGAAACTATTCTTTCCTTCCAACGTTTTTGTACTATAAGCGAAACGAGTTTGTATTAGTAGCAGTCATTGTGTTCTCTACCATGAATAAACAACACAATCGCAAAATTTTGGCAGTTTTTCCTACTCAAAGTTTTCCATTTATAATTCAGCAATTTTGCATTGGGACCCAAGTGCTACCAGAATCCCTTAAACAAGCATCTATGCCATTCTTTGTATGCCTGTCAGGCAAAACTCTTTTCATCTCAATAAATTATTTCTGAGCGAAGTTTACATCTGCCCATGAGCGACCCCCTTTTACGGATCAGACTATTATTATTCATTTGGAATCTTACTGTCTATATGTTTATTTAGGTATTTAGTAATTAAGCCTCATCTCAAGTCAGGTGGTATCAAGATAGTGTAAGTTAGGTGAAATCTGTACAGGACTGGGCAGTTCTATGACATCATTTCGTTTTATTTTTTGTAACAATTTTTAAATAAAGACATGAATTTATTATTGAACGACCATTACATTGCCTGTCCACTTCATGGAAACGGTATGCTTTGTAAACCCAATTGCATTTTTGAAATTAGCTGTTTCCCCATATAGTCATTTTAAACTCAAATAAGACAAATGGTAGAAAACATACAAATACTAAAAAAAAATTAACTTAATTTTCAGGTCTCAACCGATTCCATTGCCGCACCTGTAAATATGCCCATAGGCATTGGAGGTAGGGCGTTGTATTATAAACATTACTTTTACCCTAATGGAGTATGAAATATCTTATTTAAGAAATAGGTTACATTTGGCAAACATTACTTTCTAGCCGAATCTAAGATGTTTTTGTTTTTGTGAACTATAGAATAATCTTAGCATACTTATTATTGTATTGTTGCGACCAGCAAGTCTGTGATTAACAATTTAAGTTGTTTAGTTGCTAGTACTTCTATGTAGGTGGTTTCTGATGCTGTGGACGGGTTGGTAAATATTTATTTCCATAAAAAAAAACACTTTACTTTTCTTTGTCAATAAATTGTTTTGAATATTTGCCATCCCGTCTGGTTTCTCTATTAAGTTTTTTCGGTACAAAGAAACATGTTTTTATTGGATAAGTTTGTCAGTTTAGTTTTTAATTAAATTAGTCCTTTATTTAAGTATTTGTTGATTTATTTACCCAGTATGTTTGTTTATCTATTTTATTGTATTATTAAATAGATAAACAAGTATAGTCCCACAGAAAAAAATAGCTTATTCTGACTTGAGAGAAATAATTTTGAATTTTTTTTCAGTTACTTTTATTCTTGCTTGTGAGTTTTGATATTAGAAATCTCTTTAGTTTTTCCAGCACCAAAGACCAGTAAATAGTTGTAAGCTCATCAAATTATAGGTGCCAGAGTGCCAGCTCACCCCGGTTTTAAGAGGTGGTTATTTTCAAGAAATCAGGTGAACTTTTTTTTTATCTCTTCAGAATGATATTCTCAGAAGTAAGCGGTACTAAGACTATACCTAAAATTCCCGTACTCTAAATAATAAAATATTTTAAGAAATTTTATTTTCTTCCTGACAAGCAAACGGTTAAACTGTTTAGTTTCTTTATTACATAAATAACAACGTTTTTTGTGTAGTAAACTTTTTCACATGATTTTGGAAGCTCGCCAACTATTTCATGTTGCCCTATGTCTTAATTGGAAAAAGTGTGTTACTGGAAAAATGTCATAGCAACAGCCTGTTTTCAGTACTAATATCCTGAGGATATTGATAATTGTTAGAAAAAATTTTATAAGATTTTGAAAACTTCTTGTTTGGGTTAGTATCCTATAAGCAACAAGCTTGAGAAAATTTTTGAGCATTTATCAATGTTCAAAGGTTATTCCGACAGATAATTTTTTGACAGTAATGTCCGAGGCAATGTCATACTATATTCTATGGGAAGGGCCTTTCTGTCGAATAAGCTCAAAACAGAGGATCAGGGCCGGTATTTTCGTTCTCGAAAACGCTCACCGCTTTTTAGTCGCTCGGCACTTTCAATGTAAATTTGCATTTAAAGTGCTGAGAGACTAGAAAGGGGTGAGCGTTTTTGAGAACCAGAATACCGGCCCAGGTAGGGAATGTTATTTAAGATTAAAAGTGTTCACCGGTACAAAGTCCGGCTATGGCTAGATTCCGAGATATTTGGGGTCGAAAGTCAATATACGATCATTTACATTTTTAATATTGGTCACTTTCCAAAATTCACCGGTTTCTGAACCGGTGCAATACCGGTTTATTAGTTTACTCACCAAACCTTTCCAAAATGTACCGACTTTTTACCGGTTGAACCACATCATCTGTTTCAAAATTCACCATATTAGTTAGGTTAGGAAAAATCGGGCGCGAAATTTAAAATGGGTTCCTAAACACATTTCAACAAATTTGACAGCAATGTATTTCTTATGGGGGATTCAAAAGAGTGATTTTCAGACGGGAATATCTTGGGTTCTGGGCATTTCTTAGTATTGGAACCTATTGTACGTCAAACTTTGAACATATTTCTCTATAATTCATGCTCTAATTGTTTTTTTAGACCTATGAATTAAAAATACAAATGATTTTAATTAAAATTGTCTGTTTTCGGTGGACGTACGTCGGGTCTAAAACCAGGCAGGATTAAGCCTAATACTCATAACCGCGAAATTCGCTCTTTTAAGACATTGCTTCGAAAATTTGACGTTTTATGCGTGAATCAAACGTCAAATTGTCGAAGCAATGTCAAAAAAGAGATCGTTAACATGTAACAATCCGTATTCTAACCTCATAAAAATTTCAAAATGCCGGCTGGTTGGCAAAAGTCACGTGGTTTGGATTATTACTTTGGATGGGCGCTACGGCAGGCGTTCGTTAAATTGTTGCTACACAACCGTCACAACCAAACTTTAATACATTAAAGCATTCCAAAATGCATCATAGAAATTTTGTAACCGGACTTACACCTAATTTTTACCAGAATTTTTTGATAGCTACCGGTTTATTCAACCTGACTGGTCAATTTATCGGTGAAATTTGGAAAGTGCCCATTATGACATATTTTGACTTTGAATTGACGTAATAATTGGTTTGGCATGTATAAAAATAGGTTGACAAGAAATATATATAGCAAAATATTGTTGATAAAATAGTTATTTATGCAACAAGTGTGTAAAGTGAACCTTTTTTCACGTGTGAAGTTTGACAGTCACATGAGTGAAAAAAGGTGCTTTACGCACATATTGCATACAAATTTTTTTCTACTACCAATCAAATATGTGTAAGAAAATAGATTTAGACAAATAATTTACGAACTAGTGCGTGAAGTATTTTCACTTTACGCACTAGTGCATGAAGTAATTTACCAGAAAAATACTACTACGTTGACAGTGTCAACATCTGTCATTGACATTACTTTACTCACTAGTGTGTGAATCGAATTACTTTACACACTAGTGCGTGAAGTGGACTGAATAGTGCGTAAAGTTAGTACTTTACGCACGGTAGTAGAATAAAATATTTCATTAATTATTAGGTTTGTTCGCACAGAAGTCACAAACCGCAGTCAGAGTGAATTTCATTGGTTGAAACTAGTTTTCTGTGCAGCACACTGCGTAGGGGTCTGTTGGTTGGATAGCGAACATTCTCTTGATGCCTAGGATATCCCAAATACCAAATACCAGCAGCAACATGTGTGCATGTACCTAAGGTTTCGGCTCCAGATTTACAAGTGCAACAATAACCTATAAAGGACTATTCACACACATCAGTTCCGTATCAGTGCCGCGTCAGTTCAGTATCAGTGCTCTCCGTGCTTCATCAGTGGTGACAATTCACACACTTCCGTCTGTAGTCCGTACCATGCTTTCAGTGAAATGTCAGAATTCAGAGATCAAACGCAAATTCCAATCGATTTCCGTCGGTGAAATATACAAAATATCGTTGCCGACTTTAATAAAAAACACGGAACTGACACTGAGGCAGCACTGATGGTAAAAAACGTCACTGCGCCGGATTTGTCTAAACAGGTTCATTTGAGATTAGGCAACGATATTTTATTTTCCACTGTCACTGATACTGAACTGAAACGGCACTGATACGCAACTGATGTGTGTGGATAGTCCTTAATAGGTTCTGCCCATTACCATCTACTCCGTTATATTCCTTGTCAAACGCGATCCATACCTGATGCTTAGTAGCATTCCTAAATCGGGAAAACAACTAAAAAATCCAGGTTCGTTGGTATTTTAATCAATTTCAAAGTTAATTTCGTTTTGCTCATCACCTCCCTGGTCAACTAAGTGAACCGTCTTGAATGTAAGATGGTGATAAGTACACTTGGTACGTTCCAAAAGTAAGTTCATGTAAATATTCTACATTTATTACTGGAAATACCGGCACATAAACCGGAACAAAGAATTTGAAAATATTATTCAAGTGTCCGTCACGCGCTTTAACAATCCACCGTGTTTTAGTCACTATATGTGCTTCATTTGCTTGTTCAGTTGAAAACTGATGGGTTCCTTTCCAAAATAGGTGGGATTATTGTAAGCATGTTAATTCTATGTAAAAACTGTATAGCGTCTCGATATCCACAATCTAATATCTCCATGTTGAAATCATAGTTCCGCATTCCATTAACATATCGATTGAATTTATTCAATAGTATTCTAGCATCATTGTTAGCCGCATTCGAGAAGTATGGTCCTTAAATGTTGATATATCTATCAGAAGCAACTACCATAGAAGGTTTAACAAGGTGTTTACTTCTATGGCCACAGTATAATGAACGCAAGACTTTTAAAGCAAGTACTTTTTTCAATATCAAGATATGTGCAATCAATATACACAATCGCTTTTGGATTTTGCGAAAGGTGTTACGTGCCTTTCTATATATTCTTCTGTAGTAACAGCTTCGAAGCCGATATTTTCGGGAACAAATCTTCTTGTCAGCGATTGCTTCACTGTAGATATTGCCATACTTGTAGCCTGTCTCGAAGAATATTGGAAAATTACTTGTAAATACTCATCACTCAGACCTAGTCTTAACTTGCATAGAAAACACAGAAGATCCTTTTTGCTGACATTCCTATATCCCTCTTCCGCCAGCACTGGATCGCATTAAGTAAAAAGGTCGTTAAAATCAGCTTTCGTAATGGAATAAAGCGTTTCAAATTCTTCAGTGCATTTATTATATATGGTCTGTTGATATATCTCAATCCTTCCATAAGACGCACAAGAAATCCTCTATGATCCAAATGATGTCTTCCAAAGCTCCACTTGGATTAAATGTCCCTTAAGTTATAGCGGTGCAAATAGCCGTACAAACACATATTTTCTTGGGACATGTATGTTTTTTTTTTTACAAAAATATCAATCCCACAAGTCTGATGATAATTGGCGGATATCATTGTGTCGATTACATATAAGGCAAGTACCAGAAGTTGTCTGTGATAGTACATTTAATCTTAAACATTGTTACTATACAATTATTGCATACTCTTGAATCTGGAGTAAGCTCAGCTGATGGTCTACGATTTTCGTCGCGTTTTATTACTGCGATATTCCGTAGAAGAGCGTTATCATCGCCAGCATGTAACGCTGTTATGCGTGGTATCTGAAGATTGTCGCAGACATAACACGGTATTCTTCTTCTGAACGCCATTATACACCAACAAATGATATGTTAGGAAATGTTAATACGTTTTTTCATAGTTCATAACTGTTTTAAAGCTATTACGCAAACTGTATATTTCTTGTCAACCTATTTTCATACATGTCGAACCAATTAGGCAATTCAAACCACGTGACTTTCAAGATGGCGTGGCGGCCACACATGGGCCAAAAAATACAAAAAAATATCTAGATTCTGCCCGATTTATCAGTTTAGGTACCTAGTCAACAAATATTTTATTAAATAATTCAAATCAAAGTTGCAAGCAAAACTCTAAGCAAAATAATTTAAAATACGCATAAAAACACATTCAAAACAAACTTGCTTGGCCGCCACGCCATATTGAATTTTCCTATCTGACAGATGGATTGAATTTATTACTTTAAATCAAAGTCAAAATATGTCAATATCACAATACCGAGGTGGGAAGTGTTTCATTACCATCGAGAAATTAGTTAGTTAACAGAGACGCGAA